TAGTAGTTAGTAGTAGTAGTAGAATATATCCCTAAGATGTCATAGGATGTTTTGTGCTGTGTGGGAAATGACATTAAAGGCTCATCTACAATGTGCTTTTTGCGTCTTGTTTCGTGCCTTCTGCTTTTTGTTGTTTGTTTCTTGTACTTTTGTCATATGGAACTGTGAAACATTGTCATGTACAATTTGTTTCTTTCTGAATTTCCGAAGAAAATGTTATTTCACATTGATTAATCATAGATCAATATTCAACAGCACTCTTATTGATTAATGATGTTTAAGGTAATATTTTAAGATAATTTTAATGTATGAACTATGAATATCGATTAAATAAAATAAATAAATATCCGATACCATTGTTGTCATACGATGTTTCTTTGTTTTCTGTCGCTCGAGATAAAAGTTGACGAATTTCGTAAGAAACAAGAAACACGTGGTAAGAAACATGATTATCGGTAAAACAGTGCTCAAAGAGGCAAAAAGATAACAGACAAAAAGCAAAAAACAGGAAGCAAAGAGCACATTGTAGATGAGCCTTTAGTGTACATATAAATAAAACACGATGCCAAAATTATTATGATAGTTTTTTGTCAACGCTGATATTCAATTGTTTTTTATTGGATCCACACACATCGTGTATGTACATATCGCATCGTGTGTAATCCGTACATAGTGATTCTCAATAATGAGATTTACTTCAGAAGAATATTGTGATATGATAATTGCTTACGGATTGGCGGGAGAAAATGCACGTGCCGCGGCACGAATTTACGCGGAGAGATTTGCTGGTCGCGCGCGACATCCTACGGGACGTCAAATTTATCGTGTCGTCCGACAGTTTCGGGAAACAGGATGTCTCATACATAATCGTGTTGTTGGACCAGTGTGTGGTCGTGTTCGTGTTCGTGATGAAGAAGCAATTCTTCAAGCTATCCATGAAGATCCTGGAATAAGTATACGTCTTTTGGCGCGTGATACAGGTGTACCTAGGACCACAGTACATCGTATCTTACGTACAAATGGATTACATCCGTTCCATTATCAACGGGTGCAACAACAATTACCGGGAAACGCACAACTACGTGTAAATTTTTGTGAAGGTATTGTATACTCTTCATCTTTGTATACTCATAACACTTTTAACATAAAATAATTGTTAGTAAAATATGTACAGGCCTTCTCGCGCAATGTCGGCAAACGAATTTTTCCCGGATCATATTTTATGGAGCGATAAAGCTACGTTTACACCGAACGGTGTATTTAATTCGCGAAATTTTTTATATTGGGATGAGGAAAATCCTCATGCGATTCGCGAAGGCGCGTTTCAACGTAGATGGTCCATTAACGTATGGGCTGGAATAATCGCGAACCAAGTAGTAAGTAGTTAATTGTAGAAATAAAAATAACTTTCCGTTACAAAATATAGTAATTATTTTAAATAATAATTTTCAGATCGGTCCATATTTTTTCCCATCGCGTTTAAATGGCGATATTTATGCGGAATTTTTACAAAATGAATTGCCAGTGCTTCTCGCCGATGTGCCCCTAAATATGCGAGTGCAATTGATTTATCAGCACGATGGAGCATCAGCGAACTTCCGCCGCCGAGTTCGCGATTTATTAAATGCGCATTATCCAGAAAGATGGATTGGTCGAGGTGGTCCTATCACCTGGCCGCCACGGTCGCCAGATTTAAATGTATTAAATTTTTTCGTTTGGGGCTACGTAAAAAGTCTAATCAAAAACTGTGGTAATGGTACAGAAAATGAAGTACGTGAAGCTATTATTGCGGCCTTCAATACCATTACGCCGGACATGGCGCACCGTGCAACGCGCGATATTATTCGAAGGGCCGAATTCTGCATACAAGAAAGAGGATGGTACTTCGAACAATTCTTGCATTAAAAAATGAGAGTGGATTAGGCCTATCGGGGAAACCACTATAAAAAAAGCGCACTATGCTATCTACCGCAAGGTAGTGTGGAAACGATAGCGCATTATTAAAAGAAAGAGAAATTATTTTTCGACGCGTGATAGTTTATCATAAAACCGTTCGTTTTTCATACGTTTTCATACGTTTTTCATACGCATGCACAAAGATTTTGCACATTTTTTGTGTCATTAGATTTTATTTCAATTATAAAATAGAAAATCAGCCGTGCGTTCGCATTCGGTAATCTTTAATAATTAATATCTCTTTAACCCTTGTGAAAATTGTAAAATGGTAGAGGACTTTTCGGTTCAGTTTGGTCTGCTCTACCGGCATACGGCCGCTGTGTCAAAATTTTTGGGACACTCTGTATAATATGTACAATATTTATAGCAATTATATATAAAAAATATATCTAACTAAATCTACTTACTTTTACTTTATTTAAAATTACTGCTATGCGATAAAAGTTTGATGCAAAATCATTATTTGCAAAACTATTATAGATATTTTCATAATTAATATTTAAGAGCTAATGTTGAGTCACAGCCGTGTACAAATCACGATTTATATACATTAAAGCATCGTTGTATCATAAAAATAATTTTATTCATTAATAATATATTTATACAAGAAAAACTATCTAGTCTTCTCATATGAGTCAATATTTTTCCTAGTTTTGATAAAACATGAGACATTTCATTAAGCTGAAGTTTGGAGTACTGTACGTGGTCGTGTACGTTGAAGTCGTCTTCCAGAACGGAACGGTTGGTGAAATTGTGGATCGTCAAATAGAGGCTCCCTCTTGCGTGGCTCATCCTTGTCAGCTGTGTTTAATTATTAAGGAAAACTTATGTTACGTGTATCTTTGTAGAAATAATAATAATTAATTCTTTGCACATGTTATGAATATAATATAAAAAGGATATTTGTGAAGTAGTTTGAAGATTCCTGTGCCGAGTGGAACTGGAATGCCTATTATAATTGATTCCGATACACCGCATATAACATCTTCCTGCCCGTAATAAGCTGCGTCAAACAGATGATCCGCCGTTTTCTCAAACTACAAGTAATTTTTTCATAAAAAAACATTTCCAACTTTCTCCAAAGTGTTCTAAAATGTTTTCGTGTAATATAAATAAATTAGTAAAAAAAGGAGGGTAGAAATCTCACCGATGCCAAGTTTAAAACTGATTCTTTCATCTTCGCCAAACCCTGTCTTGTGATACCAAGCACTTCTCCTCTGCCTGTCATTAAATCTGCCAATAACATTAGATGTCGGCAATCAATGCTGATTCCGTGAGTTTCCATTACCGATTTAATTTCTGACATAATAGTCGCTCTTGCCGCTTCGATGCCGAGTGTTTTGAAAACCTAGCGTGAAACAGATCATAAATATGTTTTATCCCTGATACTGCAGGGTCTTTTTCAACTTACTTCTATCGTATTGTTCGATCTCGTCTTTTCGCCGTGGATGCCACGCGTTGCCATTACTTCTCTAAAGTTATCTCCTTCGACAAATAACATTAGACTTTTTTTGCCATCGCGTGTAACTTTTTCGTTTTCGTGTATAACCACTCTAGAAATTGACGGCAAACCCTAGAAATAAAAATAAACGTTAAACATTTATATTGTTACAAGAACTCATTGTACTACTTGTTTTATTAAAAATATAAATTACTTTTATTATAATATTCGGCACCGCCTCCATCAGATGCCGAAACGGAAAGTGTGAACTTTCCTTTTGTTGTTCCTTTTGTTTGTTCGGTCGAATAATAATAATTGAATCGCCTAGGACTTCTACATTCTTTTGAGTCAATTTCAACTTTGAAGTTAGAATCCTAAAAAGTCAGAAATTATTTATTATTTAATATTAATATAGAGAATTACTTTCGAACTTGGAATGCACGTTTTAAGTCTAAGCACACTCACGCGTAGCTTATAGAATTAATGTCCACTTCTAATTTTAATATCTTTATTTTGTTGACGTCCAACTTTATTATAAGAAAGTGCTCATCGCGCAAGTATACTTCTTCAATATATTCAGCCACATTTCCTAAAGTTGTCTTCTCGATTCGCGCCTTCACACGTTTCGCAACTTCGGGATCCATATCGTCGACCTGCAAAAGAGATCATTGTATAGATTTTACTCGCAACACACAAGCGCTCGAAGTAACTCACCAGTGCTGCCGTTATAATGGGAGTACTGATCTTAGGACTGGCATTAATAATTTCCTTGATACGCGGCACACCCTGCGTGATATTCATGGCGGCTATACCGGCGAAGTGAAACGTCTTGAGAGTCATCTGCGTTCCCGGCTCGCCGATACTTTGCGCCGCGAGAGCACCAACAGCCGTGCCCGGTTCTATCTTGGATTTCATATACTTCTCCTTGCACGTATGAATGAACTCGACCAATTGCGAAACGGTGAAACGTTCGAGTTGCAGGATCACCGGCGAGTTCGATTTAATATTCCGATAGCGCGTTATCTTCAACGCCACCAATTTCAGGAATGTGCTGCGAAAAAAAAAAAGGAAAATTTATACTGAATCCGTGCGATTTTCATTTTTATTATCGTGCATCGCGCTGCGCTCACGTCAGTTCCTGTTTGAACTCGCTGCTCAAGCAATCGTACTCCTCGGAGGATAGCATCTCGTTCGTGGCGCTGATCACGCGAGGACCGTCTAAAGGCTCTTCGTTTTTGTACGGCAACTTAGCTCGCACATGATCGTACACTCTCTTATAATCCACCGGACAGTCCTTGCCTGCAAAGAGTAGAAACACACGTTACACACACACACGTTCTGTTCACAAAATGCACGCTGATGCTCGCATACCCTCCATGTACGTGGGATCCAATCCGTCTGCACCGTACGGTGTCTGCACGATGTCCTTCATTGAGTTGCGCACCGTCATGTCGTAATGGATGCAGAGGTCTTCCAGACTTTTGATCAGCCGCCTCTGCATGTATCCGGTTTCGGCGGTTTTCACGGCGGTATCCGTGAGACCCTCCCTTCCGCCCATTGCGTGAAAGTAGAACTCCTTCGAGGTCAAACCGGAGAAAAATGAATTTTCTACGAAACCTTTAGCCTCGGGTGTCCTCAGTTGCGGCAATACATGAGGTAACGCGCGGTTTTCGAACCCATTTGGCACTCTGTGACCATTGATAGCTTGCTGTCCTACACAAACTGAACGGCGACACGTTGTCTTTAGACGTTAGAGTCATTGCGATTAACTCATGTTCATATTATTATTATTCGAACGTACCTATCATCTGCGAAATGTTTATAAAACTGCCCTTGCTTCCACAGAGAGCCATGGTAAGAGGAGTGTTAGTAGGGTGCAGTTCTTTTAAACACGCTTTACCAACGTTGTCACGGATTACAGAGAGCTCATCTAATATACGAGATTCCAGTGTTTCTTCTTCTGAGCATCCAGGTTGACAGACGAGGCGACCTTCCTCGGTTAGTTTAATGTACTCGTTACATTTCGCATAACTAAAAAGAAAAATTAAGCGATTAAGCGTTTATTTGAGGCAATCCGTCGAGTCAAAGCTTGAAATTGTACGTACTGCGTATTTAACACCTTCTTCTTGATGGCGAGAAGGCTTTGACTGGGTATAACGTCTCCAAGACCGAGAGAAATCCCTTTCTCGAAATTAAAATGATTCGCTATTCTGGTTAAGCGCCACATAGCTGAGATCGCAACATCCTCGCCCCAGTCACACAGCAGGACATAAAATATATTCTGCTTCGATCCTGAGCCCAGTGTAGCTTTATCCATCGTTCCCGCGAGGAGCTCGGAATTGCGAATAATGACATCTGCGAATTTAATTTGGTTGTATAAAGAATTGCGACAAAATTACGATTACTAAAAACTTACAGGAATCGTTGATGCAAAACTCCTCTCCACTGGTGTAAGCCTTGCCCTTTGTCTTCAAATTTGCTTTGATAGGACACTCCGGATTTGGTCGCAAAATTAAACTGAATATCTGTTTGCCGGTCCACAACTTGACAGGTTTCAAAATAGCGGGCACGGGAAGAGTTACGATCAGAGATGCGTCCAGGCCGGCCAAGAAGCAGAAGGCTAATCTGACCTGTTCTATGTCGAGAAACGTGTCCTTTTGGGTCAAGAGATAAGCACCGGTAAGGAAGTCCTGCGTCGCGGCTATCAGCAAATCACCGTTGCGAGGTGTAACCAGATTCGATTTATTCTGTAAAGTGAGATTTCGGAATAATCATACAGTTTAAAAATTGCTCGATTAATAAACGCTCTTACGCTTGGAATAACCAAATAAATGCAATTTCAATTCAACATTACCGCCAACAAAACCAGCGCTTCCGCCCTCGCTTCCTCGGTCTGAGGCGCGTGTAAATTCATTTCGTCGCCATCAAAGTCGGCGTTATAAGGTGTGCAGACGCATTCGTTGAATCTGAACGTTCGGTGTTCCAATATCTTAGTCCTATGGGCCATTATACTTAATTTGTGCAGAGACGGCTGCCGATTGAACAGCACTAGGTCATCGTCTTTGAGATGCCTCTCAACAACGTCGCCATACTGTCAGGCATAATGAAGTATGTTAAACCTGTGAAACGTCTTAAGGCTGCATTGATGTATTACCTGCAGCTCCTGGGCAACCTTCTTCCGGTCGGCATAGCCGAGGTACCATCTATTCTTCGCTTTCTTGTACTGTATGAAATTTGCTCCAGGATGTATGTCCGGGCCATTCCGAACCAATTTGCGCATTAATTCTATATTTGACGGCGTGATCTTTTCAGGATACGTTAAGGTCTTTGCAACATACATAGGCACACCTACCTGATAAGAAGATACAACGGCATAAACATATCACGTCGCATCACAACATTATCGTCAAGTTCGTCAAAATACTTACTTGATCTATTCTGAGATTCGGATCGGGCGAAATCACCGTACGCGCAGTGTAATCGACACGTTTACCAGATAGATTTCCTCGGAAGCGACCTTGTTTTCCTTTTAATCTCTGTACTATCCCTCTGCCAGATTTTTTAGGCTGAAAATACCAATATGTATTATTGGAGGAAAATATGCAAAGTTATCTGAATAAACGATATACTTATAACAAAAAACTGGCTATTTTATTTTTAAAAATCATCGTTTACTTTTCTTTCGCCCATCCTGCAAAAAAAGAGAAAGAAAAAAAAAAGACACATACTAATTTCATACACAAATTTACTTGCATGTGAAGAGGTATTCCAGACATTTCACTATTAATGTAAAGGCCGCAGTGCAATTGAAGGAAATCCCAATGCTCCATGTATGTCAATACTTTAACACCATTTTGCTTACGAATAACGTCATTGATAAGAGCTATTTCTGACAATTTCATTGTGAGATAATCTTCGTTTGTACCAGCTTTTAGATCAGACATAACACTAGGTCTAATGCAAATCGGTGGTACAGGAATTCTTGTCAATATTAAATCTACAGGTGATGCGCATTCAGGATTCATTAACAAAAAGCAAACGTCACCTGTTGGAATTCTATTGAAAAGTTCTCGAACCTTAAAAAACATACGTAAAATTATATATCCAAAAAGAAACATTCTATTTTGAAAGTATAATATGAAATTCATACCACATTAGGATATAGATATTCGTCCAGCACAGATCTGTAATTTTGCTCTACTATATTCTTAAATTCCTTGTCGCGATCCATGGCTATGCTTAATTCAGCCAATTTATCTTTAATAATAGGATCGGTCTTCTTTAAATTCTTATATTGCTCGTGCACAATCTTGAGAAAACCAGCCTTTTTCACTGGGCCATTATTTGATTTACAATTTGGACATTCTGTTTTCTTTTTCGCTCGTTCCCAAATGGACTTACGCAAATTTTTGCGTATCAAGTATCCCAAATTTGGATTTTGTAATTTACGCAAAAAAATTTTCTTTTCTTCCGGTGTTAATAAAACATGAGCGCATTTCTACAAAGATCAATTTGTCAAGTATAATTGTGATAAATAAACATACATACAACATTACCTTGCAAATTGTCTGTAAAATCTGAATGATAGATTTAAAATAGCCGACATGAAAAACTGGCAGCTCTAAATCCATGTAGCCAAAGTGTCCTACACACTCATTCAATTCCTTATGGCATGTGTCACATTTGCTCTTATTTGTTGAGCTTACTCCCTGTAAATAAAAATATAAATTAAGGATTCTTCTTAAAAAGTAAAGCAAATAATATTACACTTTTTAAATACCATTCGTTTATCGAGCACTCCGTGAGGAACTGGAGTACGCATGGCATCTTCGTTGTACAAGTTCTTGGTAATAACTTGTACACTAGACTGCATAAGCATGTTGTGCATACTATCCACACCAAAAGATATGTGGGAGCTAGAAAAAGAAAATGTGTAAATTTAAAACATAGATTAGCATGCATTATAATTTATGTTGGCTTGAGGAACAGATAATATTGCATACAATGTGATATTTGTAATTTTATCTTTTAATTTTATTAAAATAAATGGATTTACGTACACTTCGCTGGCGACATTCGTCTCCCTGAATTGTTCCTTCACCATGTTTGCTGATATATATGATTGCAATAATAAAATAAATTCTGACTAACTTCTTCTTTTTACAAATGCTTGTCTCTTTACTACATTGACAGATAGCGATGCATTTATGCACGCATGATGAACTTATTTCTTTTATTTATTTATTTAGCTTTTTTAAAACATTTTCTGTTATAACCACTTTAAATTTTCATAATCGGAATCGAAAGAAACACAAACACGTGATACTCTTCACATTTCCTATGCCCTATCTACACCGAACGATGATCCTACTTGCGGCTCATCCGAGCGAGTAATGTAGACGAATTGAAAATCACACTGAAGGCGAAAGTGGTCGAATGAGCCACAAGCAGGATCATCCTTCGGTGTAGATAGGGCATTACAGCTAATCGGCAATAGGTCTGTTCTTTTTAGCTGAGCTAGCTGCACTAATTCAGAGTTTATCTTTTTTCCTCTATATTGGAAGAAGAAAGATAAACTCTGAACTAGTGCAGCCAGTTTAGCTATAAAGAACAGATCTAATAATAATAATTTATAGTTCTTTCGATACTAGGTACTTCGTTCTTTTGGTGTTTGCAGCGCCTTCACTGTGATAGGGTTTTTCATCGGATGAAGTGACATCTGGCCGACTGCGTTTTAATGAAAGGCTATAAAAAAATCTGATAATATGAATAATACGCAAAATACTTCGCGGGAAAATCTGTTGTTGTTTGATATACATAAAAATTCGCTAATCAGAAGTCACTGATTCGTCAACGTAATAATTGTAAATGTACACATGATACTATTAATAGTACACATTTAAATATTGCACGATATTGCGAAAATGCCACGGGTATGTTATGACAAAATGACATGTATTGTTAGGTTATCGGTGCTCCGTTTCTGCGAAAAATGGATTTAATATGTATTTAAGTATTGTTACGTGTTTCCGTAGGATATAAGATCTTATTTTACGCCGGTTGCAACCTCTCAGAAGAAGAAAAGTGAGCCTGTCGTTTCGAAGCCTCAAAAAAGACGTGTGATCTTGTCGGATGATGAGGATGAAGAGGAATCAAAGTCATCTGCTCGAAAACGCTCGAAGGTAGTCACTTATCTATATATTTTATCGTATTGTTTTATTTATTGCATTTGTACAACTCACTACGTTCGTCAGACTCAGAGATTCTCTTTGCTTGCAAGAATACAATGTTACATAATTATTTTTATGCAGGTTGTGCGAAAAACAAAGAAGGTTTCTGCCCTCTCTGACTCAGAAGATGAGGTGATTATATTAGACAATAAGAAAGAGTCTAAAGCAAGTAAGAAAAATGTGAATGAAAAGCCACGCAAAGAAATTGCTCCTGGTGAACTGTTTGGCAAGAAACCAATAACGAGAGTAGAAGAGACAAAAGTCAGCCGGAAATTACATAAAGTGGTAAATATTGTATGTAAATTAAGTTTGATGAATATTTGTGAGTAACATTAGTATTTGCAGGAATCTGAATTTCATGATGATGATGCTTTTGATGCTGTACTTGAACAATTGGATTCTCAGAGTACAGCAACGCAGAACACAATAAAAGATAAAAATGACATTAAAAATACAGATATTCCCAAGCATTCTAAAAAAGGTATATTCAATTTATTAGATATTAGAATCGATATCACTAGACAAATGTGACATAATAAATCTTTTACAGATGCAGATTCTAATAAGAACAAAAAAGATGATACTGATTCAAAATATTTTCATAATGATACAAATAAAAAGAATAAAATAGAAACTAAGGAAGTAAAAAAATCTCCCAGGAAGAATAACCACAATGCAACAAAAATTACATCTCCTACAAAACAGAAATTGCAAAAGAAGAAAAACAATAGTTTTAGTTCGAATGAAGACTTAAGTACAAATGACGAATACAGTAATAACAAATCAAATAGCAAAAAGATAAATTTGAAGGATGTCTCAACATCAAATAAAGATGAAGATACAAAAGAACAATCACAAGACAAAAAGAAAGCCAAAACAGTGGATTTATTTGAAGAGAGGATACAAAAGAAGAAAGAGCGCGTTGCAATGTATGAAAAATATCTTCAGAGAGGTGGCGCCAGAAATCCTGGCTCTAAAGAAATTCCATCAGTAAGAAAATATACTCATTTACATAAGAAAGACTGTGAAAGAGATTATTCTATGATAAGAATCGTCAATTTTTTTCAGGGTGCTAAAAATTGTTTAGCCGGCGTGACTTTCTTGATTACCGGTGTTTTGGATTCCTTGGAAAGAGAAGAAGCTGAAGATTTGATTCAACAATATGGTGGTCGTACTGTGAATGCTGTATCGGGCAAAGTTAATTATATTATAGTGGGAGATGAGGCTGGCCCGAGCAAATTGATAAAGGTATGATTTTGCATGCTTAAATACGCATGTATATATTTCACGAATAACAAACATTCCTTTATATGAAGTATGAAATAAATTTTCAGGCCAGTAGTTTAGGCATCAAGCAGATATCTGAAGACGATCTCCTACAAATGATTCGCACGAGACCGGAAGGTAGATCTGAAGATATCAAGCCAACTAAAACAAGAGCAAAATCGAAAACATCGAATAAATCTGAAAGCGATAAATCGCCATCGCCGAAAAAAGCAAAAACGCCATCGCCGAAGAAAGCAGAAACGCCATCGCCGAAGAAAGCAGAAACGCCATCACGTTCACCAGTAAAGGTGAAAATGTCGTCGCCGATGAAACAAGCTTCAGACACAAGCAGTACGAGTGAATCGCAGGAGGTAAATTTAGACATCGATCTGATCTCATATAAAATCTAATTAAAAAGGAATGATTAGAGATTAAAACGCACGGCTTTCTATATTTTTCTAGATAAGTGTCGGATCGCAACCGCTAGTTGAAAAATACAGACCCAAGACCTTGAAGCAGATTGTCGGTCAGCAAGGAGACAAGAGTTGCGCGCATAACTTGTACGTGTGGTTGCGCGATTGGCATAAAAATCGCCAGGATCCAAAAGTCAAAAACGGCAGTACGTTGACCAAACCTTTCATAAAATTTTGCAGCATAGTTTTTTGCAAAAATCACTCTTAGCAAGTGATTAAGATAAAGTAAAAGAAATGTAATTAATATCCTTTCAATAGCCAACAAGCAAACCCATGGACAAAGTTTTAAAGCTGCCTTGCTGTCCGGCCCGCCTGGCGTTGGCAAAACCACAACTGCGCAGGTTGTTTGCAAAGAATTGGGATACGATCTTGTGGAGTTCAATGCTTCCGACACCAGGAACAAGACGCTTCTGAAAGAAGAAGTCTCGGGATTGCTATCCAACACCACGATGAAGGACTATCTCACGGGTAGGCAATGTTTTATCGAAATAATCGCATCAGTTTCTCTCGCTTCACGCAGTGCGTTGCAGGTGCTAAACAAAAGATTACGAGTAAGCACGTGCTGTTGATGGACGAAGTCGACGGCATGGCCGGGAACGAGGATCGCGGCGGCTTACAGGAGCTAGTCGGTTTGATCAAATGCACGGAAGTGCCTGTTATCTGCATATGCAACGACCGATACAACGCGAAGGTGAAGACCATTTCGATTCACAGCTACGATCTGAAATTCTCGAAGCTCAGGGTGGAGCAGATCAGGGTACGGTCTACGCAATCTAGTCTGCGTGACGCTTTCTGCCGGATGTAATCATTCGCCGCTTTTTCCCCGCAGAGTTCCATGTTGTCGCTGTGCTACAAAGAGAACATCAAGATCGCAAAGGAGGACCTCGACCGCTTGATCGAATCGACGAATCACGATATCCGACAAGTGATAAATCATCTCGAGTTCCTCAGCGGTCAAAAGGCTCGGGTCGAAGCGACCGAGAGGAAACACTCGAACAAGGACTTCAAGCTGGGTCCGTTCGACGTCGCCAAAATGGTATTCAGCGCCGAGCAACAGAAGAACATGAGTCTGAACGATAAGATCGGTTTATATTTCCACGACTACAATATAGCGCCTCTTTTCGTGCAAGAAAATTACCTGGCGGTCAGATTGTCCCAGGTGTCGCCGTAAGTGTGAATATTCTCTTTGTGTGTGTAAGACGACGTCCAATGGATTGCTATAATTGGCAGGCAGCAGAGGCTGGACAAGATTGCCCGCGCGGCCGACAGCATATCCCAAGCAGACCTCATCGAGAAGATGATGAGAAGCAATATGATGTGGAGTCTGCTTCCAATGCATGCTTATTTCTCCTTCGTCGTGCCTGGTAGCGAAATGTCGGGAAGCCTCGATGCGATGGTGCGATTTCCGAGCTGGTTCGGGCGAAATTCCAAGGCAATGAGATTTAATAGGTACTAATTTTTAACGATATAATTTAATTCCTAAAATCACATCAGTATAATTACTAAAATTCGACTGAAATTCAGTACTTTGGCCGTTAAAGAATGTACCACTTCTAGATTAATGCAAGAGTTAACGACGCATACGCGATTGGTTACGGGCGCGAACAAAGACGCCCTGAATATGGATTACCTGGTTCACATTCGAAACGCCGTCACAAAGCCTCTGATAGACAACGGCGCGGACGGTATAGAAGCTGCGATAAGCGTCATGGGAAAGTATCATTTAACGAGGTGCGTATTTTATTTACCGAACGCACTAAAAGATACACAGATATGCTGATCCGTTATCTAATTTTTATCCTAGGGAGGACTTGGATTCGATAATCGAAATCTCTCTCTGGCCAGGAGTTCGCGATCCTACAAGCAGCCTTGATAGTAAAGTATGTACAATATTATTGAACATTTATATGAATGATTAAAAATAACGTATTATGTACTTGTCTCTTTCTTTGTGTTATAAAATATCGGAAGATCATAATTATGATTATCGTAATTACAGGTGAAAGCAGCATTCACGCGCGCGTATCAGAAAAATCCGCCTATGTTGCCGTACGCGATTAATAGTAATGCGACGGCAAAGAAAAGGTCTGCGCAGGACGACAATTTCGTGGAAGAGGAAGATGATGAAGAGGAGGACGACAACATTGATTCCGACAAGATGATCAAGGTAGCACTAAAAATTAAAAAAAAAATATTCACAATTTCATCACAATTTTATAAGAAAAAAAAAAATATAATTACGTAACTTAAAACCGTATTTTAGGCGAAGAAACCTACCAGCAAAGCTGCTGCCTCAACGAAGGCAAGCGGCGAACCAGCTAAAAAGCGCGCAAAAGGACGCGGTAAAGCGAAGTAGGTGACAGTATCGGGAGATGCAAGTTTTTTATTTATAAAAACGTGAAATAAAATTAATACATTACAAGTATTCCTCCATCGTTCGATCGAATTGATTGGGACGGTGTTTATACTGCGATCGTGGAATGATTTTTTATATCACCCGCGTGTCGAAATACGCCGATTTTACAATGTATTGTCCCTTGCTCGTCTAGAATTATATTTTTATTCTCCCGCACGAAATTTCGTTCCGATGTCTATACATTTACAAGTTCTTCTCTCGTCTGTACGCATTCTAGAATGAAAGATTAGTTTCATGTGTTAATTGCCATAAATATAAGATATATGTGTAATGTAATATAAATAATAGTTTTCTTCACGATTTTTTTTTTTTTTTTTTTTGATAAACAACTACGTACGTTTTGTGGTGGACTTCCAACCGATGTATTCATTAGTCTTCTTGTTTTCTTCGGTCAGCCAATCGGTCAGAGGCTTGAAGTACTCCAGCAGCCCGGCAGAGTCCATCTGTCGCACGCCTGCGATCTTCTCCATCGCATCTTGCCAGGGTTTCGAAGAACCCAGCTCCAGCATAGATCTAACACCGTTATAATATTATTTCTACGCCCACAAATCATTTTCTCGTGATATCAATGCGTTAAACTTACTTCAGCAAATTTCCTGCATCTTTATTATCGTAAATATCACACTGATGCAGTGGATTGGCGCTTGGATTCTTCGGATCGTACTGTTTCGCCTCGGTGCACAGTGCTTTGTGGAACTGGAATTGTATCACGAAGCTCACGTAGTATCTTATGTACTCCACATCCGCGATTATGTGGTACTTCGCGCCGGGGTCGAAGTCGTCCTCCGACCTGTCCACCGGCGGTTCGATGCCTTGGTATTCCTCCGCCAGCGACCACCTTGAAGTGAAAAGGCTCGGAATGAAGACCTTGAGACATCCTCTAAATCCGACTGCGACGAGTCTGACGAGCCGGTAATTTTTTTCTGTCGCCTCGTTATCTGAGATACTGACCAGTTGCAGTTGTAATTGTCGGTCGTAACTTTTCCCTGGAACACGTTCCAGCGCCAGCGATCCATCATGTAGGCGAACGGCAGGAAGGCAATCTTGTCGAGACTCTTCGAGTAGAGGTGATTCAGCACCGCCTCCTGATCGGTTGCATCGTCCTTCAGCAGACCGATCTTCTTGAGGTGGCTGGGCGTGGACGCGCTGAGGGAGATGACGTCGCCGACTGCCTCGTGGAAGCCGGGATTCGCGCCTTCCTTGAAGACAGCGGGCTGACCCTTGTACTGCAAATAATACTCGATGTGGCCCATCTCGTGGTGCGCCGTCAGCAGGTCCTCCATGTTGACGCGCGTGCACTGCTTGATCCTGAAGTCCTTGCCGTCGTAGAACTCCCACGCGCTCGCGTGGCAGATCATGTCCACGCCCTTCTGCTTCTCCAGGATTGACTTTTCCCAGAAAGTGTCCGGCATGGCGGTCAGGTTGATCGACGTGAAGAAGTTCTCGGCGAGGCGGAACATGCTTGTCGCGTTGTAACCTGCTCGGGAGAATTGCGAAACGTTACGACAAAGTGAGAATTGAACGTGGAAGACGGAAGTAGCGATTCGGTAGCTCGAGGTCGCGGAAGTAGAGCGCGAACTTGCCTTGGTCGACCAGAGCAGCGCTGACGTCCGGCAACTTTTTCCCCGGGAACGGCGTGGTGAAGTCCGCGATGTTCGACCAAGTCTGAGCCCAGGCGTTGCCCAGCAAATGCGCCGGGATCGGGCCGTTCTTGGAGACGACGTTCTCGCCATACTTCTTTCTGAGCTCGCGACGCACGTAAGCGTGCAGCTGCAGGTACAGCGGCTTCAGTTGCTGCCAGAGGGACTCTGCGGTGGTTTTATTCTTCTATCAGCATTTTATCACGCAAGAACATTATGTTATATATCGCGGATATGCGACCTTACCGATCTGATCGGGGAAGTCGTCAGCCTCGTAATCTTTCATCCAGTACGCGGCGTAATCGGAGAAATTGTTGAGTCTCGCCGCTGTGTTGGCCAGCTCGACGTACTTCGGATACAAGGATTTGACCTTCTCGCCCGACGCCTTCCTCCACTCCACCCAGATGTGCTTCAGCTCCTCGGGATCCCGGCTGCGCATCAGGATCTCGGTGATTTCCGGCTCGAGCGCGAGATCGCACTTGGTCTTGTTCTTGTAGTCGCAGATCTTTGCCGTGCTGTAGATGTTCTCCATCTCGCTGATCGTCGTCTCAAACTCCTTGTAACTCTGTAATCATCATTTGATCTCGGTAGTATCTTCATCATCCAAGTTACACTCGTGACAATCGGTTCGTATTCGCTTAATGAGATGCTTGGAGAAAAATAGGCGAATGAAACAAATGTTCCGTTATATTAATTCCGTAAAACCGGTTTTTCTATTATCGAAATCAATAATTGAGTGTAAGAGAATTCAGCATGTCGAAGTTAGAACTTCGGTTTCTCGCGATAAATTTCCATCTTTTTTCTTGATTCGTCAATTTTTGCAAAAATCTTACTTATTATTGAAGATAATTGATCTGATTTTTTTCACACATTCTTACTTCTTCTGGAAGCGCGGCGGTTCCGAGCACGGAGAGCTTCTGGAACTGTCTCTTTAGATTGTCATCTTGTAATTCCCTCCAAGGGAAGTCGTTCACTTCCTGAGCGACCTGCTTTGTAACGCGCGCTGCCGCCGCGGATACGTTCAGCTTCTCCGCCAGATTTTCATCCGTCAAATTCGACGCATAGTTCCATCCGGCGATGCTTTGTTTGTGATTCCATTCCGCGTACAGTTTGTCTATGCGTTTCAACATATCCTTGGCTCTCTGCGTGAGGTCTTGTGCGGCAACCTGCGGATCTTGGGTGGGGTCTACCGGATCCATTGGCTGGGCTGCTGCCAAAGCTACGATTGCTGCTACCAAGATTCTATTAACACAAAAATATAAGTATTATTAAAATGTTAATGATTAGAAAAATCATGAACGATAAGATATTTAATACTGAAAGATTATCGCACCAAGCAATAATTAATTGAATTGAAAAAAATTTTGATATCCTTTCACAATAACGATATATATTTATAATACTATATCTTATCGATGCTGCATCAGTGGCGAGATGTTTTATTTATTAACAATAAGTAAAAAATAAATTAAACGTCTCCGATTATTTAATAAATTAATTAATTCCTAAAAACAATATTATTCTCCCTTTCAATAATTTCTGCTTTACATTTCACGTACAAAACTTTATGAATACCAAGCGCTGAGATTCAATTAAAAATATACAGAAAATGTTTTGACTAGGAAACGATCAGTCTTCAGGTGTGACATTGTCCGTGAAAATAATACAGTGTCAAATAACGTGAGGTCGAAGAATAATGCGACTTAAAAGTCTCGTCATGACGCGTGAGTGCACTTGCTAGCGTATTAACTCGTTAACGAATGATCGTCTCCGTGCATCCGGGAATATTCAATGTAAATACCAGCAAAGACACTTTGCGCATATAATAAAGTTGTATCAAAACCGGATGCATTTTTATTTCGCGATATCAGCGATACAAAATGATTGAACGACATCAAATGAGTAAAAAAAAAATATCAACAGAAATTTATTCCACACTTTAAAAATACACTTATCCCTTTCAAAATATGTAATGAGATTACTTTCTTAACAATTATCGTAACGTCGCGTATCTTTTCTTTTATATTGCAACATCAATTTCTTACGAGGTCATCGATCATTGTGTCGCGTTGACTCTCACAGCTATGAGACTTTAAATTTTATGCCGTTCAATTAACGGGATACTTACAGGCGCAGCATAATGATCTCTTATGGTCTTGCAAAACGATAATTCGATCTTGCGGTTCTAGTGAGAAGATCCAGAGCGGGTTTCGCGATTTATTTTCTCCGCGTTTTGCTGTGATCTTACGGTGTATAATGGCAATCGCTTTCCAACTGTCGACTGACGCTCTGTGAACGAGATACGTTAACTTTTATGTAGCCTCCCCTCCTCGCAAGGCAGTATCCGATCGCGCACCCGTGAACTCCAATAAATTCAAATGCAATCCTGCCGCCTCGGTCCTCGGCTCGTCCTGTTGTTTATCGCCGTGTTGTCGCAAATTTACATTTCCACCCGATCGATCGCGTTCCGCAACCTTCGTGCTGCTTAGCGTGTCGATTGTTTTCGAATCGAGAACTCGGCGGAAGAATGCATTCTGAAATTGCAAATAAATATTAACAGTTTTTCATGCTCAATTAACGATGTCTCATTTGTGTTATCATCCAGCTTAAGTATTTTCTTCCATAACAAATATAAAAATTTATATTTTCTGTAAAATTATTTTTTTTTTGCATCAAATAAAATATCAGTGCACAAAACATATTAAACTTATAAAACATGAAGAATAAGAAAGAAATTGATAAAATAGTGCTGAAGAGAAGACTAGTTTTTTGAATCTGAAATACAGCATGAATATGAAAAACTTGTTAGAGTTGTGGTCAGTGTGATAAGAGCTTATCTTATTTTCCGCTTTTTATAGTCTTGTAGGTTTAATGGATCTTCCATATCAAGACGTATTTTATATCCGGAGCCATTTTTTTCTCCAGCACTATTTTATCAATCTGTTTTTTATCACTACTCACGTTGTACAGCTTTAATAGAGTTTTTTTACACACCAACTTTTTTTATTTAAAGAGCTATTCTTTTCTTTAGTTTCTTATTTTCTTAATTCGTTTTAATCTCACTTCGGACGTTTACTTAAAAAAACTATTTCATTATTTTATCGTAGTGTAGATATTTATTTTTTATTTTTTAGTTTATGCGTCATATTCATCATAATTATTGCATAACACAGATTTCTATCATAAGAAAATGATCAGCGCACAGAGCAGGATACTTCGCTGATCGAAATAATCTCTTGGACCTTGCGCAAGATTGTCGCGTGAATTGCCCCGCGCCAAATCATCATTGTATTCATAGTGTAATCGCTTCGAGACGTGGAATAAGTTCTGGACCGGTAGATCTGTCAAACGAAAAACCACGACGAGCCTTGGGAAACATGTGTTGTGACAGAATCTTTCGTCAAGGTCCCCGCGCCGCTATTATCTTTCGCATTGTTTATCGCTGCGAGCCGAAACTAACGGGCCGACATTGGCTCGGCATTAATATAACCTGCGATATAAAATGCACGTATATCTTATACCTGACCAGTTTGAGATTCTGGATTCGTAGGAGCGAGCGTCCTTGCTATGCGTGAGCGCGCGCCCGCAATGTCCTCCGATTCTTTTCGCTTCGTCGGCGGCACTTCTTCGAGTCGAGGACACGATCCTGAACTCGATATCGATCCAAGGGCTCCCGTTACGACTGTGGAATCAAAGATTCTGCATTGTGCGAAATTCCGGAGGTGTTCACGCATTTGCACTCGGAAGCTTGAACTTGATCCAGAAGTCACCTGCAAAATAATTCGGAAAATTGTCAATCTTAAAATCTCCTTTTTCTTCAGAAAGAAGAATCGTTTGCGAGAATTTGCTTCGACAGTTTTAATTTAAAATTACATTTTTTTATAATGCGTGTGAAGTGATAATGGAATTCCATTTTGCTCAAAATGAAATGACGAGATCAAAATAGTGTAAAGCAAATTTGCGAAGCAAACTATATAATTTGTGCGAACGCAGACATTTTATTGCATTTTTGGCTGCGCAGGAATGCGGGAGTGCGCCGTCGGTTACCAACAAAGCGCTCTGAATGAAAAAAAATTTATCAAAGCATCAGATTCTACAATGTAGCAGAAGAGCATCTATGCAATGGGTGGCGTCGAGGGGACCCATAAGAAATGTCGTAAAATAAATTAACCGCATATCTCAGATGGAATATTTTCAAGTTGCGGGCATAGATATTCTTTTTGGGCCGCTGCACAGATAAGACCATGGAAAATTTTGATCCGTACGAGACGCTAAAAAACGGGTCGTTTAAGTAGAATATCTCGCTTCCACATCTGCGCTTCCACATAATTCATGTAAATTAAATTTGCATGCAGTCACAGTTTTGTTTGCCATACTAATGAGTGGCGATGCGCTGCAAGCAAACGGTTCGTGAATTGTGATATAAGCACGCAAGCGAGTCAATTATGATAGAAATGCAATATGCGACATACGTCCGTGAAATTGAAACTTGTGTAATTTATGGAATAACAATATTTTCATTTTATTAGAAAAATGAATAAATAAAATTAATAAATGTACGTTTTTATGTTCTAAAGTACACATATTAAATTATTATTTTCGTATAGTTATTATTAAAATTAGAAATATACATCATTGACTCTACGATTTAAATCCGGTCGCAGGATAAAACGTGATTTATTTCATTATCGTGTTCTCGATAGTTTTGTTCTGTTCTGCACTCGTGAGTTTATTTCGTATTGAAAAAACAAGGCTGCTCTAGATTTGATGAAGGTTTAAGATATCAGATTTGTAGGGCTTGCGTTATACATATGATTTTCTACAATGGTTCATTAATCAATCACAAGGCAATAAGTCAGATAACTGCCGAGATTCGAAAGAGAAATCGAAGTACCTTGAAGTGCACTGAGATTTCCGGCAATGCTTTCAAATAGTTATTGACGAGAGAGAATATTTAAGAAGAATCTATTTTTTCTAAAATACAATAGAGACATCTTTTGAAAATAAATTATGTGATATTGTTGAGATTTTTACGTTAAGACGTAAAGATTGTTTGACATCAATCTTGAAAAATTGCAATTAAAACTGATATATTGAGCGATCATTTATTGCAACATAGATTAGATATCAATACTTTTCTTAATATTTACTTACGAAGTAGGAAACAAAATTAATGAAGTCTCTTATCAAAAGAAATAAAGCCGTTTTATCACAGTGATTGCAATGATTTCATCATTTTGCGCGGTTTTCCTCCATCGAGTGGACTCAAGGGTTTATGAGTCGTCGAGATTTATTCTTAGTCCTATACTCTCTCCCGTTTTATTTCTTCTTTTCTCGGTGAAACAGAAGTGAATTATTATGCGTGACGCGCGCATAGCGCTTCATTATGTGCGCGAATAAATTAAATGCCAATTGGCAATTTGTCTAAATACCTGAGAACGCAGTCACGGCCACGTACGTGGGTGAAAAGTCAAGCGCTTTACTCATCAGGAACGCATCGAGGATCAAGGGAGACTTAAGGGCTCGCCATGCGTATGAATAGCACGGATATTTCTGTCACCTTCTATTCTTTGTCGCAATGCATTCATCGGGTATCCAAATATTTCGCACTGGAGGAGTACACCGTCTCGCGTTAATATCCTGATTTGGCCATGAGTGGATATTTTCAGGAGCGTCGCGAAGCGTCGGGAATTTCCAACGTATGCCAAAAGCATCCCGGCAACGAGAATGACCACGAGAGATCGAAGCCTAAAAAAAGAAATGATAAATTATCAGAAATGAAGTGATAAAGATAATGTACATTTTTAATTAGAGAAATTTTTTATGTTTCGATACAGAATGATATTTCTTTTTACAACGAGAAACTAGATTACTGATAAATTAATTGAAAAGTTCAGAAAAACTGCTAAATCTATAACTCATAAGAAAATTTGAAGTGGATCTTATCAAATTGTGAACTTATCGCGTTTTGCCGCTGAATCCTTCGATCGTAGTAAATTTAATAGAATGCTGATTGCACAATTTTATACTAAATATATTTTTCAAGAATAAAGAAAAAAAAAACATAAAAAAAGTACAATAGACACATGATAGACATGAAGCAAGTAATTTTAAGTTTCTAAACTTAACACAGCGTGTCAGTGTTTGATAAAATCTCTTTATAGAAAATCGAACGCTTTCAGTTACGTAAAACTGCATTTTTCTGCACACAATATCCAATCAAGATATTTTTCAAAAGCCAATCACTAGATAGACTATCTCTCGAGACATGACGCGGTGGATGAAAAGCAAGTAACTGCAGTGACGGTCGGCAACCCGCGTTAATGTCCAGATTAGGAGATGCCGGCCGTTCCGTGGGGATTTCCAAGAGAGCGCGAACAAGAAGAAGACGAAGAAGAGATAGAAGAAGAAGGAGGAGAGAAGGAGAACGACGATGACGGCGATGACGAGGAGCGACGCGTCGCGGCGCGCAAACGGCGTCGCCGCCGTTCTCACCCAAAGACGCACGGCGTCGCGGCCGTTCGCACTTCCTGGTCGCGTACCACCACCCGCGCGCCCAGAAGTGAGGCGTGGGCAGCGACCGCTGGCCAGCCCTGAAGGCGTCCCGCGTGCCCATCTTCGGTAGCGTAGCGCACCGCGCCGCGGACGTTATATCTGGCGTCGCGACGCCTTCGGGCCTCAGCCGCTCCTCAGCCGCCCGTCAATTCACAACCCACCCCCACGGTTAGTAAATCCGCAAAACGCTCTCATCCTGTGCTTACAGTTTGCGCGAAAATTGTAGAAGTGTCGATAAGAACTGATTTTGGAATCTTGGGATAAAAAGAAAAAGTGGAAACGCGTCTGTGTGTAATTTTCAAGGGTTTAATTGGAAGGGCGAGATTGCATGTGGGATTAATTTTGCGCGGAAAAAATTGGACTGATCTCAAAGTGGATTGAAACATCGACTAGAACAACGTTGTGTCATCACCCTCGTCGTACTATTTATTAAAGAAAAAGATTCTGTATGTGTTATCGAGAAAACGGTTTTGTGTAGTGACCAATTATATAAATGTTATATTATTGGTCAATACAAATTGTTTCCTTGATAAAATAAATAAATTAATTTTCTAATCGAAACAAATTTGAAAAACGACATTGTTTCAATCAAGATTTAACTATTTTGTGGTAAAATTGATTTAAAGTCTGCACACAAAATTAAAATAGTATTGTTAAAGAAATGTAATATTACTGAAAATTTTAAAACATAATTCATTCTAATGTAAAAAGTTGGACTCTTCCTAAACGCAATCGTTATAATTAGAATGTTCACAATTCTTGGATGATGTCATTAAATAAAAATAGTTGGGATTATGTAAAACCTACCGAACATTTGAAACACAAACTATTAAAAATATTGCTAATTCATAAATCTATTGAAACTTTATCAGTTCATTCCTGACATTCTAATTTAATCGGATAAATTCTTTTTTACAGAAAAACTAAAATAGCAGCAATATGTGTGACGACGAAGTAGCTGCCCTGGTCGTAGACAATGGCTCCGGTATGTGCAAGGCCGGTTTCGCCGGAGACGACGCTCCCCGCGCCGTCTTCCCTTCGATCGTCGGTCGCCCGAGACATCAGGGTGTGATGGTCGGTATGGGTCAAAAAGACAGCTATGTAGGCGATGAAGCCCAGAGCAAGAGAGGTATCCTGACTTTGAAATACCCGATCGAGCACGGTATCATCACCAACTGGGATGATATGGAGAAGATCTGGCATCACACCTTCTACAACGAATTGCGTGTCGCTCCTGAGGAACACCCTGTTCTCCTCACCGAAGCGCCCCTGAACCCGAAAGCTAATCGCGAGAAGATGACGCAAATTATGTTCGAAACCTTCAACAGCCCGGCTATGTACGTCGCTATTCAAGCCGTCCTCTCCCTGTACGCCTCCGG